TAAAAAAAAAAAAAAAAAAAAAAAAAAAACAGACAAAAGTAGGAGGTACCGGGAGCCGGAGGTCACCAAGGGACTCCGGGTGGAGACGTGGGGGCTGCTGGCCTTGGACCCCCCACACCCCAAAGCTCCCTCCCTGCTGGGCGCTTTCTATGTACACAGTCCCCAGCAGGGCCCTGCTGGGGGGAGGGGGAACGAGGGGATGGAGGCCAAGTGGGGGGCAGGAGAGTGGGGAATGCCCGCTGACCGACCCCCGACACCACAGCAGCGGGGGCTTTGTCCTTGGCCAGCCCCACCAGCCCCAGGCTGGGCTGGAGGCACGCGCACGTGGAGATGCGCACACAGCAAACACCGCCGTCAGACCCAAGAGGGGAGAGGAGGAGGAAGGCTGGACCTCACCGCAGGGGTCTGCAGCCCCGCCGCGCCCCGTTCAGCAGGCAGGGGCTGGGCACGGCAGGAGGGGACATGTGAGGCTCTCCAGGGATGAAGAAGCAGGGAGGAGGAAGAGGGAGAAGGGGGAATAACGAAGCTACGGCCCCCGGCATCCGCCCCTGCCCTGGGTCTGGGGGCAGCAGGCGCGGGGGGAGCGGGGAGGCGGCGGCAGGCGCGTGCCCCCGGCCGTGGGTCTTGCCGTGGCGCGGTGCCGATCCGCCCCAGTACCTCGCCGCTTCCCAGTCACTCTCCGTTGCAAATGTACAGGTAGATCGGTTGGGACTGAGTCCGCGGGGGGACGCGGGGCCGTTACTGCGACGCCTGCGACGTGGGGTTCTCTGACTTGCTCTCCTGGCTGGAGGGCGGTTTGCTGTTCCAGGGGCTGTTGGCCCCCAGCGCGGGCGAGTTGTTGAAGCTGTCCTCGTCGTCGATGCCATTGGCGGCGTCGAACTGCGTGTTCTCCAGCCGAGTGATGAGCCGCTCGTCCTCGTCCCCAAACTCCCCCCCCATCAGCGTGGGCTCGCCTACCACCATCACATCCTGAAAGGGGAAACGGTCCCGAAACATAATCGAGGTGGGGGGAGCCCCGGCCGCCAAACCCCCCCTCCCAGCACCGCAGCCCCTTCCTCAGCTTCAGGGTTGCCTCCTCGCCTCTGTCCCTGGGCTGCTAATCACACTCTGCAAGGGCTGAGGCAGAACAGGTGGAGGGAGGGGAGACCTGGGGCTGCCCCCTGCTCTCCCCATCACCAGGAGAGGGCTGGAGGGCTTGGACAAGCACCCCTGCGAATATCCCTTAGCCACTTCCTGCGGCTGGGAACCCACCCCTCCATCCCGGGGAAGGAAGAGAGAATGGAAACGGGATGCTTACAGGTACCTGACTGGACAGAGCGAAGGTGCTGGCGGGGCTCTTCTTCTTGCTGTTGCTGTTGTTGGTGTTTCCACCGCCGGAGCTCATCGTGCTGCCCCCTGACATCTTCCTTTTCCGGCGCTTGCTGGGCTGCTGCCGTGCCGGCTCCGCTGGGCCGAGAGGAAGAGGCAGTTGGTCAGCCTCAGCTGAGTGCTCCCCAACCCCTCTGCCAGCACCACCTCCTCCCACCCACACCACGCAGCCCGGCAGGCAGCAGCACTCACCAGGCGGCGCGACCATCCGCTGCCACTTCTGGAACAGGCAGGTCTTGAGGCAGTCCCGGGGACTGAGGCTGTAGGTCTTGTGCCGTGACATGAGCTCCTGCATTGGTTCTAGGATTACACAGAGCTGGGGGAGCAGACAGACATGAGGTTAGACACTGCCAAAGCCAAGAGCCCGTGTTGCGGTGACCCAAGCCTCGTGCAGAGCTCACAGGCTCCAGCACACTTGCTGCCCCACTGTTGTGCATTATCTGCCCCTCTTCCAGACCCTCGTACACAGCCCACTCTGCTCCTGGCACACGTACTCGGAGGTAGTTGAGTGTGGAGTTTGAGAGCCCACAGCGGGTGATGTTCTTGGATAACTGGTCCAGCATCTGGGGGTCCTGTGCCTAGGGGTGAGAGGGACAGCGCTCAGCTGGGGATTGTCCCCGTGCCCCATCCTGTAATGGGGCGTGGGGGAGCCCTGCTTGCGCGGCAGGGAGAGGAACTCAGCAGCCCTGTCTCGCACTGGGAGGAGCTGTACTCACATGCATGGCAAGGATGCTGCGGGGGATGAGCTCTCGATGCTGGCGGATGCTGAAATGCCACGTCTTTATCCTCATCATGTCATCAAACATGAACTCCAGGTAGAGCCGCCCCTCCACGCACACCTGGGCAGGGCACAGGGTCAGGCACACACTGCCACCCTGCTCCCCCAGCCCAGAACCCTGAGAACCCATCGCTCCTGCACACCAGGACACCCTTCCCTTAGCTTGGGACTGCCTGGCATGGGTCTCTGCACAAAGCAAACCCAGGAGCCTGCACAGACAGGGGACCTATGCCCAAAGGATGCTGCAGGGCAGGCTATCTTTACAGTGTGGTGCTCCATCAGCACAGCTCCATCAGCTCAGCACAAAGCCATGGAAATCAGTGCCCATCCCTCACTTCATGCCACCGCTGCCACTGTGAGCGTCTGTCAGACTGAGACATGTGAGGGCTGGAGGTACCTGGGTGAACATGGGCTTGCCATGCTGAGTGACCATGGTGCACTGGTCGCAGTCCAGAGAGACAAAGTTGTTGTGGAAGGACTCCTTGGGGTGCTTGAGCACGTAGTAGAGCTCTGTGGCCCCTCCTTCAAAGATGCTGCGGAAGTAACGGGGTATCAGAGTCCGGCCAATTGCTGGAGTGGGAAAAGAGAAAAATAACATCAGTAAAACTGGCTCATCCAGGTGTGCATGTGAATAAGGTCCCCATGGCTGTAGGCAACTGGGCTCCAATCCCTTGCTCATGCCTACCCATGCAGCCCCATCGTAAGGCAATGCCTCTGGAAAGCGGTACTTGAGCTCAAGCTCTGGGGACCCCAGGGCCAGCCCTTGCCCCACCACTCTGCTGCCACTTACTGTATCTCTTTGGTCCATCCTCCAAGCAGAAAGTGATTGTTAGCATGGCATCGTCCTCGAAGAACTCCGTGGTGAAGGCATCCCACCACAGATTGTCACATTCCTGGGAACAGCAGAGATGCTGGGTTAGGGGACAGGAAACAGGCAGCCCTATGTTCAGCCCTTGGAGGACTGCATTCAGCTAAGCACCCAGAGAAGAGGTTGCACCCCCCATCACTAGCCACCCCTCCCACTCGCTTCCCAGCTCGGCCCCTGGCTCCCCACCTCTGTCCAGTTCTGCAGCCGCTTGTTGAGCTCAAATATCCTGTAGTCAGTCTGATTGCCATACGGCGTGTGCCTCCTGCCAGGGAGCAGAGAACACGTAGTCAGAGCAGGGAGCAGCCGCAGCGTGGGGCATGGGGATGGGGATGCAGGCATGAGGACATATGGCCCCCGCAGGCCAGCAACGTGTCATACTCATCGTCCCCTGGCACTGACCCCAAACCAGAATGGGGCAGGCTCTCTGCTCCTTCCCTGCCAGCCCCTCACACTTACCCAATGCCAGGCTCCAGGTATGTAGGCGGGTACATGGGAGTAGGTCTGTGGGAGAAAAGCAACATAGCTGGGTCAGCAATGGCCAAGATCCTCATCCCTGCACTCCACAGCCCCCATCCCCCCTTCCCTTCTGCCAGCAGAAAGCAGTCAGGATGCTGGTGTCTGACAGCCCCACAGGGTTACCTGCACTTCAGAACTGAGCTGTTTCCCAGCCCCAGGGGCCCACCTTGCAGCTCCCAGGAGCCATGTCCTGCTCCCCCCAGGGTTGGTGCCAGGAACAGGGAATGTGGCAGAGACTGGGACTGTCCCCTGTCCTGCATCATCCCGGGAGACTGGCCTGGCAATGGGATTGGTCCCACAGTGCTGGATAACTGGGGCTCCCTTGATCCCAAATGTAACCCTTTCTTCACCTATCAATACCAGCTCCAATCCCATCTCTTGCCTTGTGCTAATTGAGTTAGCACAAGACGTGCTGCAGTCTCACTACAGCTCTGGGGATCCAAGAGACCAGAGAACCCCAAGCCTCACCGATCCCTCCCCAGCCCCCAGCTCACCCCACATCTCGATCCAGCATGGTGCCTGGATGGAATGGGGGGAAGGCGTTGCCGTTCGGGGGCTCCTTTGGCGAGTACAGCTTGAATGACTTAGAGGAACAGCCTGCAGAGAGAGGGAGAACACAGGTCAGTCAGAGGCACCAACAGCAGCAGCACAGAGGTACCTCATCCCTGCTACCAGGAGGAAAAAGGGGAGATGAGGGGCCAGCACTGCTGGGGTGCCTTGACCTGTACCAGAACAGCCAAGCCCCCAACAGCACAGTCCCATCCCCAATGCCAGTCAGACCCACTGGTGCACAGAGTTTGTCAGTTCTCAGTCAGATCTCAGTGCCCCGGGGGTGGTGCAGCTGGCGTGCCAGGGAGCGGCTGTGCCCTACCCCCCCACCCCCCAGCCCTTCCGTGCAGCTCCTAATCCCACCGACCTGACCCGAGAATCACACGGGATCTTTTCGCTGACCTTTCTATCGCCATGGAGACGGGTGAATAATCACCCGGCCGGCGGGTCCCCAGGCAGCCACCATCTGCCACTCAGGCAGGCCAGCGGTCACCAGGTTTGAGATGCAAGGCGATGCCACAAACCGGTCCCACCGCACCCTGCTGCCCCTCTCGCCCCTTAAAGTAACCCGGGGGCGGCAGGGGGCTCCCACGCTGCCACCCCCCTGGGCTCCCCGCAGCACCCCGGCACACCCACAGCTGACAGGACGCGGCATGCCGGGCCGGATGATGCCGAGACACGCGGTGGGAGCAGCCGCTCCCCGCAGCCGGGCGGGCTGCCAGGCAGCACTGGCTCTACCGGCTCAGCTGGCCCCGCCGCTATGGGGGATCCCCGGCGGTGCTGCAGCAAAGTGGGCGCGGGGTGCACTGCTGCCTGTGGGTGTGCGGGGAGAGATCCACTGCCATGGGATGGGAGCGGGCACAAGAAAGGA